CGCTACTAGGAACAGGTGCATCGCTAGTAGTAACAAGTGCCTTACTAGTAGTAACAAGGAAGCTACTAGGAACAAAGGGCATCGCTACTAGGAACAGGTGCATCGCTAGTAGTAACAAGTGCCTTACTAGTAGTAACAAGAAGCTGTTAGAAACAAGTGCATCGCTACTAGGAACAAAGGGCATCGCTACTAGGAGCAAGGACTCATCCGGTGAAACCGGTCTTTCCAGGAGCAGCTGGCAGAAGAGTTGGCTTCATTGGTGTGCCGGGGGCTCACAGACTGGGATTGCAGCCCGAGTTGGGACATACATAGACTGTCCTATCCATGCTTTTGCCGAAGATGTTCTTAATTTTGCTTTCGGAGGCAGGGTACGTACACAGCTGTGGCCAATCTTGGGCAGAATGTTTATCAAAGAGAGGAACAATTTGTGTCCAGCCCCCTGGGCCGGTCCGAAGATCGCCCTGCATTGCGCTCTTTTTTCGGAGCTGCAACCACTGGAAGTCCAGGACTCATTTGGTCCGCTTGGCCTCTCCTGAAAATACCAGGTCTCTGAGCAATTGCCCAAATGACACTTCTGATTTTAGGACTCTACCGCAATAGACATCATCATGGTCATACAGGAAACTAAGTAATTACTTGTGTCCACCTAGCTTGTGTTTGTCTTCTTTTTTGCTGTTAACACACCAACGAAGGTTGGTGAAATCCATTGCTCCCTTGTGTACAACAAACGACCTCTGCACATATCATCAAATATCTACCATTCTTGATATTTCTGATGTTGCAACTGCGTGAGTCGCACACACGAACGAGCCCCCCTCTCCGACAAACACGGAAGCAGAATATGGAAGCTGAGCAGAACCCGGGCCATTTTTGGTGCTTTGGCCCTGGCGATGTTGCCAAAGATCTAAAGGGCTCGGATCCAACAGTCTTACAAGAAGGCCCGGATGTATCATCCAAGCATCGCAAATCACCCTTTGCTACCTCTTAAAAGCAAGAGTGCTTTTCAATCATGTCCAACACAAGTAATAGTTTTACAGCGTTTTCTAAAGGGCTCTTGGGTCGATGTCACGTCACCTCATGGCTTGGCCACCCCTTTGGAATTCCAGCAACGCCTCCAATTGCGAGCCAAGGTGGTGTACCTTCCATGGCAGCAGCGCCTGGACCCCTAGCTTGTTGCAGGGTGGGATGGAATCAGATGTTGTGCAGGCTAAAAGAGGTGGCGGGCTTCCCAATGTTGTACAAGTTCTTTTGGTTTCTCTCAGTTGGGTATTGTATTTGTGCATCACGACAACAACACTTCAGCTAGATAGATAGTTGGCCTTGGTTGGTGCAGGAACGGAGCTGTGTCAATAGCAGCTTAGGCGGCCAACCTACGTAATTATTTTCGGAGGTCTCTTGACATTCGACACACAACCTCATGAGTAACCTCTTGATATTGACATGATATTGGATTATTGTTCCAGTGCATTGAGAAAGTTCAGTTCTACCTCTGCAGCACCTTTCTCATGGACATGTTCATCCACATCAACCCCATGGGCCCCATGATGAGAAGTTCTTGCTTGGTTGTCCTCATTTGTTGTTTTACTGAACCCGAGCTTTGACGTAAATCAGGCTGTGCCGCTGTGCTTGTTTCACCCTCTCTTTCAATCCAACCAAGGCCAAGCCCCAAGCATGCCACCATCATATATTGCGAGGTGCAGTGGGAGGGCGAATTGAAACTCACTCTGAATGTCGTTACAGTAAGTATTATGGTAATTCAACTGCATGCAAAACTGTTTCATGTTCATTTGAAGGTTGGCCTGCATGCTGCTGATAGGCCTAGGGTTTTCGTTGATTTCTTCAAAGGGAAGACAGGGAAGGACCAAGTACGCCTCACGTGCTGCACTGAAAGCCTGCAGGATGGGAATGGTGGCTACTGAGAGAAACATAGACGGATGGTCACGGGGCTCAGTCGAAATGCAGAAGCAATTGAACATAGACTGTACTTGGTATTTGGTGTCAAGAAGCTCCAATTTGCCTCCCCCAAGCCATCCAATTTGGCATCCTTTCGATGGACGCGAAAAATGATGCTTGGGGAGGGTACTCCAAGATGTGAAAGTCGATGCGTTTGGATAAATTGTGCGTCCCAGCTTGGGGAAAGATTTTTGGAAGTCGATGCAAAGTTGCGTCCTGCTGGTGTTTAGCAGATAGACTTTTTCTCAGAAGATGACTTTTCCATGCACATAGTGCACACCAGAAATCCAATAAAGCCGCCGCTAGGTTGCAAACTGGTTGTCACAAAGCGAGCGCTGTTGGTGTTCTTACTTCAAGTAGAGGAAGTGGTACCTGTGTGTGCTTTGCAGCCTGGGTTTGTGCGCATTGAAGCCTGCTGCTACTGCCGCTGCCTGGCTGCTGCTTGTTTGCTGCTTGTTTGCTGCTTGTCTGCTGCGGCTGCTGCTGCTGCAGCAGCTGCTGCTGCTTGTTTGTTGCTGCTTCTGCTGCTTCTGCTGCTGCTGCTGCTGCTTTGCTGCTGCTGCTGCTTTGCTGCTGCTGCT